ATTTAAGTCCAAAAGTTATCCAGACAGTTATAAGAAGGGGAAGTGCACGTGGTCATTTAAGGTAAGAGAATGTACACTGGAGTCCTGACACACACAGTCACATACACGTACGCAATTATAAAGCTAATCATCATCATCATCATCAAGGGTCTCACGCCGACGGAGGCGCATGACCACATCCGACCTTCGCTTCTAGCCATGGGAGTCCCTCATGGCTAGTCTCCAGGCAGGCCCTCGACCCATCTCAAACTCCTCGTGACAGGACTGGGTCGGGTTGCCATAGCCATGTCCTCCTAAGTCGTCCCAAGAACTTCCTCCACCCAGGATTGTTTCTCAAAGATACAACCTAATGGGCTGCCATCCACAGGGAAACGATCTAGGTGCCTATATAACCTAAGTTGGCGGTCCCGGATTATGCAGGAAACAGGTCCCATTCCAGTCTAGATGGTGTAGCAGCCTGCCAACTGTACCCCACTATCTGGCATAGGGACTTCTTACAATAAGTGTCAAGACGAGACTCCAAGGCACTAGAACTGGCAGTATCAAGGCCTTGAAGACACGTAGCTTGGTCCTTCTGCACACCCTTGCCTCACCCCTGAATTAACAGGGAAGAAGTTTGACAGGTTTCTAACATACTTTTCAGCATTTTCCATACCAGTATATAGTCGTGCTATTAGGCAAATAAGGCACAGGATCTTCCATAGCGATTCTCGATGCGCTGAGTCGAATGCCTTCTTGAGGTCGATGTAGGCTGCAGGCAACCCACAACCGAACTCACGACGGCATACCACAATGACTCGAATCACTGGGATATGGTGTATTGTAGACTTACCAGGAGAGTCTAGACTGCTAGAGTCTCAGTTGCCTTAGTGGTTGCATATCCTTTTCAGAAGAATGTGGGTGAAAACCTTGCCTGTTATAATGAGCAGTGTGATGCCACGGTAGTTACTGCAGTCCCAATAATCCCCTTTCTTCAGAGAGGGATGACCCCTCATCAGGTCAGGGGAAATGGAACCAGACTGCCAGATGGCATTCAAGGCTGTAGACAAGCCTCATCTTATAACTTCAGCCCCAGTTTTTAGCAGTTCTGTAGGGATATCACATATGCCTGCGGCTTTCCCACCCTTCAGCTTACTAATCGTTATTCTTACCTCAGTTAGGGTAGGTGGGTCTAGCACAGGTATTGTGATACTATTTGCATCCAAACTAACTGTTGGAGGGTCTACCTTGTACAGTTGCTCAAAATAGTCAGCCCAATATTCATGAACCCCTATATGATCTGAGATCATGTTAGCAGTCATCTGCAAGGAGGGCTTGTTCAGTTTTCTCAGGGCTTGGTAGGCAGGGCGAAGGTCATTTACCAAGAAATGGCCTTCAACCTCCTCAGCAAGGTTCCTGATGAACAGTTCCTTGTCTGAGACCAATGCACCAAGTAATGGTGCAAGTCCTTATTGCCACTCAGCCAAGCCATGTGACACACTTCAGTGGCCTCCAATGTCTCCAGGGAGATGAAATTCTGTCTTGCCCTCGGGCACTCACCAGTGGACTACTGCACTGCTTCAAGTGTTTTGTTCTTGAAAGACTCCCACAGAGCAACTGGGTCTGTCAGGTTTCAAGTTCTGAGAATCGAACAGACACTGCCATGGCAAACCTTCAAGCACACTCCTTCCCCACAGAACCTTGCAATTCTGGAGAATCCTCCATCAAGTGCTGACAAGAATATGGTCGTTCTTCTTGGCCACAGTACCCGTATCGCCATGTCATGTCCAGCAATGTGGGTTGGAGCACTAATACCAGGAGCCAGTAATAGGTGTACTCACCCATACTGACCGTGATGCTGACAGGTCTTTTCATCTCCGAGAGGGCAGCCACCTCAACTCCCAACCATTTCAGTTACCTCGATAGCAAGGGTAACTGCTTATCCAAGCAACTACCCAGACAGCCCACAGTTAAACCGTAGGTAGTTGCTCCGGGTGGACGCCACCTCTGCCACCCCTGCCGATGCTGCCCCAAATGAAAAGGGCAGCAGGCTGTGAGGCTCAACGTTCATCTGTGGGGTTCCCTTGGGCTCTGCCCCAAAGGCTTCATACTGGGTTGGCACCTGTTAGGGCGCATGGGGACGAGTAACTCTTGCTGCCATCCTGTGCCCCAACATTAAGCTTATACATATACAATAATACACATGTGCATATATACATATATATAAATTTTATATTTATTTACTTATTTATTTATATTCATTTATATGTGTATGTTTGTGTGTGTGCGTACATGCACAAACACATACACACATATATACAAGGAGCTTCAAAAAGTTCGTGGAAAAAGTACAGTATGAAAAAACGGTTTCATGTAAGATGTTTATTTTTAAACATTAACTCCATTAAGATCAATACACTTCTGCAAACGTTGATACCAGACTTTAAGTCCATCTAACTAAGACTGAGGGTCATGTAATCTGAACTATGTCAGAGCAGCTCTCTTTACATCTTCAACCAATGGAAAATTGATACCTTTCAATTATTTCTTTATAAGTTTGTAAACAAAAAGAAGCTGAAATGGGATAAATGGGGGCTGTAAGGTAAGAGAACATGTTGATGCAGCTTTTTAGGGCGTTTTTCTGAGATTTTTTAGACAGTTTTCTCAAAACGCATCGTTAATAAGCAGATGTAAATGTTTTCTCGTTCTTGAGGAAGACGACCAGCAAAATACCCTCTGCATACCCTAGTGGCCATGACCTTTCCTCTTGAACGCTCAAATTTTGCTTTGACTGGTCCAATTCCACCCCTAGGCAACCACTGCTTTCTTTGAATTTGTCCTTGGGATCGTACTGGTGGAGCCATGTTTCATCCTGTCACAATTCTCTGCAGAAAAGCTTCAGAGTCCTCATCCCACATGTTCAAAATTTCCATTGAAAGACCTACTCTTGTTTGCTGCTGATCTTGGCGTAACAGCCCAGGAAACCATCGAGCGGAAACCTAGCTTAGCCTCAAACTCTCCACCAGAATGGTGTGTGCAGAACCCCCAGAGATATTGAGTGTGTCTGCTACCGATTCAGTGTTTATTCATCTATCCTTTTCAATCCTGATGTGTGCATCAATGTTTTCCTTACAAAATGACGTTGATAGGCTGCCACTGCAGGGCTCATCTTCAATTTCGTTTCTTCCACATCTAAAACGACGTATCCATTTGCATGTGGTTGATTTCTTTGGGGCACTGTCACTATAAACTAGTTCCATAGTATCAATGATTTGCTTATTCTCCCAACCGAGTTTCACCATTAATCTAATGTTTGTCCTGGCCTCGAATTCAGTGGAATCCATGTTGCTTGAATGGTGCCTGACTTCCAACTGGCGGCGATCCGTTATTACCTACATTTAAGGGTTCATGTTTGAACACGTTGTAACACGCTGGTACAAGAATCTTCAGGTGCATTAAAATCAAAATCCTTCCTAATGATTTTTAGTTATAGACTTTTCCATCAACTTATTGAAGTGTGTGTGTATGTGTGTATTTAAGTATATAATATAATATTTTCAAAAATCAGCTAGATCTTCCTTTGCATAGTAAACAATAGCTAATAACATGACGCACCGTTTAGCAATCATTCTTATGAATAGACTTATCAGTTCCATAATTCACGTGTTATCTGGTGTCCCTGGCAGACCAAGAAAGGCGCCGCTCTGACCATGCAGTGCAGCGACTTCATGCTTGAGGAAACACCCAAATGCAAGAAAGATTTCTTGCAGATTAACGACTATTCCGGCGAGAAAAAGAAGTACGGACTGAATCTTCTGTTGACATAGACTATGAACATATGTAAACATCCACGCGCACGTTAAGACACACGCATACGTATACGCGCATGCACATCGACACGCACACACACACACACACATACATTTATATTTGATGTGTGTTATTCATCAAAATGAAAACATGCAGATATGTGTGAACTTATAATGCATGTATTTACGTGTTTTAGCTTTATTTGCAATAATTGCGATTGCAAACGCTGTAGAAACATTCAGATGCTAAGGAAACATCATTATGATCGCTATCATTATCATTATTATTATCACTTTCATCATTATCATTATTATTATCACTTTCATCATTATCATTATTATCACCACTTTCATCATTATCATTATTATTACCACTTTCATCATTATCATTACTATTATTATCATTATTATCATTATTACCATCATCATTAGTAGTAGTAGTAACAGTAGCTGTATCATTATTATTATTATCATTATTATTATTATTATTATTATTATTATTATTGTTATTGTTATTATTATTATCATTATTACTATTATTATCATTATTATTATCATTCGTTTATCAACAAATCCAGGTACTGCGGTCTGCAGAAATCACTCGGCACATCCAGGTCTGCTTCGCGGCTTCAAGTGAAGTTTAAAGCAAGCAAGAACAG